CAAGTGATCCTCCTACCTCAGCCTCCTGAGTAGCTGGGACTACAGGTGTCACCATGCTACCACTCCTGGCCCACAACCATGTTAAAGTGAACAATTGAGTGTGACATTTAGTGCATTCACAATGTTGTGACCTGTCTAGTTCCAAAACGTTACCATCACTCCAAAGTAAAACCCTTTACCCATTAAACAGTTTCTCCTCATTCCCCTCTTCCATCAGCCCCTGACAACCACCAGTCAGTCGGTGTTGTGTCTCCATGGATTGATTTATTCTGGATATTTAATATAAATGGAATCATATAATGTGTGATCTTCTGTGTCTGGCCTCTTTGACTTAGCATAATGATTTGGAAGTTTATTTATCCACTTTGGAGTTTGTATCACTACTTCATTCCTTTTTATGGCTGAATAATATTCCACAATATGTATATACCATAATTCGTTTATTCATTTATTCATTAATGGACATTTGGGCTGTTTCTACCTTCTGCTATTGTGAATAATGCTGCTTTCAATATGCATGCACATGGACTTGTTCAGACTTATTTTGGGTATATACCTAGGAGTGGAATTGCACGGTACTGTGGTAGTGTATTATTCTTATGATTCTTCCTGAATCATAGAGATCAAAGCCAACATCTGCTGTGTCCATAGAGTGTGTGATTTGAGAGTTGTTGGCTGGGCTTAGTTTGGGACTCAGAATCTCTTTCCTGTATGCTTAACTTTTTGAAGAACTGGGTTCTAACATTCTGGTTTTATTATGTGCATTTTACTGATGGGATAATTGAAGCACAGCATCTGCATGGTTTTAACTTCCTATCATCTTCAGAGCAAGTCAGTGATGGAATTAGGAATTTAAGACTCTTAATCATATTCTTTGTCTAAGGTGACCCATATAAAACCATGTTGCATTTACATGAAGCTGTTTGAAATGGGCTTCCTATATTTCATAATCTCTTGAAGGGATATTGTTCAGGTGGTGTTAAGCAGATGTTCTCTTTCCATAGAGGACAGGACAAGAGGGAATGTGTTTTAATTGCAACAGAAGGGGTATAGATTACATATTAGAAAGAACTTCCTGACTACAAAATACTGGAATGTTACCAAGTGAGATTGTGAAATATCTTCCCCAAAGACTTAGTAACTATCTTTCTGGGATCATTTAGGTGTGAGCTTGTTTAGAAATGAGGGAGATGACAAAGATAATTTACTGAGGTCCCTAGTAACCCCAAGACATAATCATTTGATGGTTAATCAAAACAGTATCTCTGGCCTCTTTTAAGGAGTATATTTTCACTTTTCTCATGAAGAAATAATCAATAGAGAGTTGGTGAAGTGCTCAAGGTCTCCTGGGAAAATATAAGATTAGTATTTTGAATGGTCTTGGCTCCTACATCCATATTGAGTACTCAGGGATGTGTTCCTTATCTTTAATGAGTCTTTTCTTGGCCATATGCTGTATTGTTATGATTCTTCCTAAACCATAGGGATCAAAGCCAACATCTGCAGCTTCTATAGAGTGTGTGATTTGAGAGTTATTGGCTAGGCTCAGATTGGGACTGAGAATCTCTTTCCTATAAAAATTGCTTTGGTCTCTTGTACATGTGGAAATGGGAACACATTATTAATAGACCAAGGTAATGGATTCTTAATGACTGGTTTAGGCAAGGGCCCAGTTAAAATTGCTTAGGTGAAGGTGCACGTGACATAGATGTATTTTTGGTCTGTGGTGCCTGGAGAAATAGAAATGCAGAATATGGGCAAATGAACATTAGATTCTGTTGTAAAACATGGACATAAAAATACTCATTAATGGGAGGCCGAGGTGGGCGGATTGTTTGAGCTCAGGAGTTTGAAACCAGCCTGAGCAAGACCCCGTCTCTACCAAAAATAGAAAGAAATTAATTGGACAACTAAAAATATATAGAAAAAATTAGCCGGGCATGGTGGCGCATGCCTATAGTCCCAGCTAC